GTACATCGGCTGGCCACCGCAAGTCATTGTATAGGCCACATCGCATTCAATAAGCCACTACGATTCTGAATGGAAGTAGAATGCGTGCCGCATCCCACAAAGGGATTGATCAACGGCGAAGACTTTATCCTTTATCCTTTTTACATCCTTTGTCACTGGCATCTAACGAGGCTGCTAGTAGTTGAATAACTCCTAGGTTGACTCGGAGAGCTCGGTCAGAAACACTGAACTCTCTTCTGGAGCCTCCGAGAACTGGAAGCTTTTACAGGGTCAACGAGGGCCACTACAGTCTTCCAATTGTCGCAGCAGCGGGAGCTGCTACTTGTGTACGGCGCTTCTTCGCCAAGTGTTTGTCAATGGGTGTCATGTTTAGGTGATGAGGAAGAGGAAGTGTTGATGGCGGAGTACTTTGTGTATTTAGGGTAGGCTTGCGAGTGTTAAAGAGTGTTGGCTTCCCATTGACTTGAACCAATAGGTGAGCGACAAGTCCCAGCAGGTCATATTTGCGCTCATCCACCCACACATACACACCTGGTCACAATGCTAATGAGTTGAGAATGTTGCGTGCGTGACAAGCTGCTAACAAGCATCAACAATGACCGTATTTGAGCTGGCACCGGGCCAAGTAAGTGTACTTTTCTTATACGACCCCTCAATTTGGAATAAACATCTCGCCAACAGGAAGAAGAAAACGGGTCGCGTCCCAGTGAAGATTCCTGAGATTACTGAATCTTTCTTCGAGATCTCCTACACCCTTTTACGCCATTGATTGGGACCCCTGGCCGGTGAGCCAAATAGCGCACCTGTGACTTCATGTAGGTCTACTTATTGACATTTTTGCTAATGTAGACAGGGTACAGCATCGCTGTGTGAAACAACGTAGGGGTTACTTTTGCTACTAGGGGGGGGGTCGTCATGTGGCTGTGAGAGGAATCCACCCGCGTTGGAAAAATTTGTTCCGGTTGTTTCCTTTTCATAGTTTCTCATTTCATGTGTACTATATACCCCTCCCATCCCCTCCACCCGCTTAACGGATAATCTGAATTTTTGGGTGAAAAACTGATAGGAAGCTGGAAACTTGTAGGAAAGTGGAGGAAAGTGTTGGGAAAGGGGGGCGAGGGGGGGTCATACTGACACCACCATTTCACACATCGCGATGCTGTACCGTATTAGAGGTCCCTGAGAAGCAAGGCTTCCCAGCTTTACGCAGGCCGGAGGCCTCAAAAAACATTTCGCACCCGAGACGCCTATCCCTTTTGGGAGGTAAACTAGGTTAGCGCGTGTGGAAACATGGCTACCCATGGCTTTTGTCAGCTTACTTTAGATTGCACCTTAACAACGTCAAATTTGCTACGTACCGTTTCCTCCCAGGAGTATCTGCAAATCTTTGGCTTCTTTTTCTTCTTGGCTCTGCTGGCGCCGTAGTGAACGCGGATTCAATATCGTGGCACAAAGTGCTACTAAATACAGGATTACGCACCTGCGCTGCCATCACTCGCTGTCTTTCAGCTATAAGTGTACATTTCGCGCACATGCAGTCCTTCCACTTGCAGTAGCGCTTGTGACCTGAAAATATTGGCTGAAGGTGGTCTACAACATTCCATTGGTCAAAACTGGGGTACAAATGTATCTCCTTCTTTTCATTCACCAGTCGCATTTTTGCCTTCTTTGGATGCTGAGGCGTATGTGCTCTTCGATTAGACCATTCAACCGCTTGAAAGCCAAAAGCATTTGGGGTTCAGCAATCCCGGAAGCAACGGAGCGGCCACGCTTTCTTGCCTAATCCAGAATACGTCAACTGGATATTTCTGGACCTGGGATTCGGCCCATGCAATAACTCGTTAGTGCGAGCAGGAGCAGGACTCTGCGTGTTTTGCGCAGTCAGGTACTAATAAGCGGCCCTGGAGGGGTTGCTCTTTTCCAGGACTTACCCCCTACAATTACTGATGAGAGCCATGCTCTGTCCCCTACACAACCGTGGACCTCGTATTAAATAGTTAGAAAGTTGGAAGGAAAAGAAAGAAGAAAAAATAGTTATAATGGGGAAAATGAGACCACTCTCCTTACTTGAAATGTAGCTTTGAGAGTTCGCTTTCAATACGGAGAATACTAATCAAAAAAAATCAAGGGGGCCGACTCCTCCCATACATAACTTCTTGAGATTCTCCAAAACTCACTTTTGAAGGCTGTTCATCACCTTCCTCAGTCAACTGGAAAATGGCTGCTAAAACTGGTATCGAACCCACGTTTGAAACACAGCGCCGCGCTTCTGGCGTAGTACAAACTTTGATAGCATTCTTGCTTGTATTTGTCCTCCTCCCCCCACCGACGGAATCGGCGGAATGGTAACACCTGGAATTCAAGCCTTTTCGGTTTTTACTTAGACGAATATGATGCCACCGCTAAACGGCTAGCATATCAGACGGAGTAGAGATATTTGGTGGACTTTTTGGCATGCAAGAAAATGCTGTAAGAAAACAGATAAAAGTAAACCGGGAGCTGAAGATGAGAGCAACACAGAGTTCACGGAAAAGGAATCCTATCAGGATCCTTCTTTTGAAAGGATCACCTGCTCTACTGATTTTTTTGTTCAGTCAAGAAGAATGGGGTCTCGAACAATCCCTTCCAAAAAACGGGCTGCTTGGCCCCATCCGGTATTATTGGATAAAGTCTTCGCCGTTGATCAATCCCTTTGTGGGATGCGGCACGCATTCTACTTCCATTCAGAATCGTAGTGGCTTATTGAATGCGATGTGGCCTATACAATGACTTGCGGTGGCCAGCCGATGTACAAGTCAGTGTTTTATCCTCCCAGACGAATGCGTGGTACTCACTTTACCGTCCCCGGAGGATAGAGGGCTTTTGTGCCTGGGCGGGTGCACGATTCGAACGCAGGATGCGCACGAGTGTAAGCGCGGCACTTGTTCGGTACACCACCTCTGGCCTCATAAAACGCACATAGGTAGTGTTAAGTCCACTTGATATGACTAATGTTAGCAGGCTCCACGGTGAAAAATTTCCCATTGTGTTGCGAGAGGGAGTCACAACATCGCTGACAATCCCGTGACTTCCAAAAAACCTGAGTAACTCACCTTTTAGAGCGGATACAGTGCCATGGTTCCGACATCGAGCGCATTTAGGAGTTCGTTGATTTCGTTCATGGCGAAGTCTGAGGATCTGCTCGAGAGACTGGACGGAGGGGCAAGGACCACGCAAGGTTAGACGGTGTATTCGAGAAGACACATTCTCTAGAAATAGATAGGTTTTCTTAATGCGAACTCATCAGAATGGCGATTAGCTGAATCTTGGAGCCTTCAAATTCTAAAAGAAGCCTGAGATGGACAGGAAAGGATACAATAGGAGATAGTAAGCTGCTAGCCGAATTATTACCATAGTCGCTATTCGAGTCATATGGCTCCGCCCACACGAGATTAACCAATCATACCGGTGACACGCCTCCGGAAGATCCTCATGAGGTCGGCTAATCGGCTGGGCGGACACTGTAGGAAACAGATGGAAACAGTGGAGACAGTGCGGAATTATAAAAAAAATTACAGAAGGCGTGCTGTTGTGGTAGTCGAGACTTTCCTAAAATACTTTCATGGTGCTTAGTTCTATATACCCTTTTTTCGCTAATGTAATTCCTTTTCAGGGTCCGTCTAGATGATGTCATTTGCTGAGGGTTATTCACGAAAAGATATCCGCTGTATAAGGCGGTTGATCTACAGGGGGGCCCAAAAAAAAGTCATTTTTCGGGCTCCATCGACTTTCGAGGAGAAGGATAAGTTACACTTTATTAAATTTTTATCGGACATTTTTACTACCATATTAAAGAGCAAATTAAATACTATAATAATGTTCCGCCACAGCCTTCTGGAGGAGCGCCATCGAGAGATTCGGCCGCGAAAGTGAGTGGGTACCGGAGTTGAGCGAGATCGTTGATTTCTCCGCCACTGTAGACCACCCTGTTGAGCTCCGCCCGAACTAGGTAATTGAGTGGGTTTAGGTCAGGGGACATATTTCAATATTACATCTTCATCAGGTACGAAACGCCCTTCCATTCGAAGTAGGCGGGAGTTTTTCCAAAACCCTTCGATTCCATGTGGTGGCACCCAAACCTGTAGCAGCACAAGGTCTCCAAGAAGGTACGGGCGACCACATGTAGGGAGGATATCCTTCTCGAGTTACTTGATGTAACTGCCAGCGCTCACCTTCAGTCGGGGTCTATAAAGAAAATATCGGTCTTCCCATTCCAGGTACGGCCGGTCCACACCATCAACCCGCGCCTACGTGAATGGGGTGAAGATGATGTCCTGGACCGTAGCG